CCTTCCTTCCTTCCTTCCTTCCTTCCTTCCTCCCTCCCTCCCTCCCTCCCTCCCTTCCTTCCTTCCTTCCTGGTTTTTTTTGAGACAGGGTTTCTCTATGTAGACCAGGCTGGCCCAGAACTCAGAGATCCGCCTGCCTCTGCTTCCTGAGTGCTGGGATCAAAGGCGTGCGCCACCAGCGCCCGGCTACAATGTTGCTCTTAATGGCTGAGCCACTCTCCAGTCCCATTCTCCTCCTTAAATTCCTGTTTCTTTCTGGGTGCGCGTGACCCATTACCAAGAAGTCATCTATGTAACTCCCTTTGTGACTGGGGATGATCTCTCAAATGCTGGCATCACAGGTGTACGCAACCACACCTGGATAAGAAGTCACCACATTCTGTCCTGCTGGTATCTCCCACCTCTAATGGCGAATAAGCAGCCTGGGGAATTGGGCAGCTCTCCTTTTTATGGGACCTGGGTGATCCACACACGTTCGTCCTTGTTCTCTGGGGTCCCAGCAGATCAGTGCTTTCCCAGCACCGACCTATGACCCACACTCCAAGGTCTCATTGTGGATGTGGAAGCTGCAGACAGCAGCTTGGGGGTCATGTGGGGCTGCGCTCACAGCTCTGTGGGTCATTCGATGTCAGGGAGAGAGGAGGGGGAGGGGAAGGCTGGGGGCATTGCTTTAACCACAGCACAAGCAGGCACCCCCAAGGAAGCCCTAGCTAGAAGCAGCTGTCTCCACATTGAAGACTCTTGAGAGCCAGGGTAGTCCAGAGACACCTAGCATTCCAGGCCCCAACCCAGCAGCTCCCTGTGCGGAATGAACACCATACCACTGCGCTACAAGCTCACACACGGTGGGTTGCATGCTCCACCCCATCACCCTTGATAGAGGAGCCTGGACTCCTTCGGGAGTTCAGAAGCCCACCTCGGTACATGCCCAAGAAGCCCTCGGCACGCGCGGTCTTCACCAGGCAATCTGTCCTAGGAGCAGAGGCCAGAAAGGAAGTTAGTAGTGACCAAATGTACCTCTTCCCCTTCCTGGGCGCACCTCAGTTGGCCTCGCCTCCCAGCTCCCTCCCTGACGAAGCAAAGGAAACCTCGGACCCTTCCTGGGGCCCTCCCGGCCTTCACTTCTCCCACCAATACCTACATTCCTTTATACACAGCTTTCCCCTGCTGGTTCTGCAGTCGGGTCTTGGCAAGGTCAATGGGAAACACACAGGTCACCCCCACGAGTCCTGCCACACCTCCGTTGATGAGTTTTGCGGCGATGCTAGGGCCACGGGGGTGGGGGGGGTTGGGGGGTGGGGGTGGAGGGAAGAGACGTGGTGTGAGAGAGGACACTTGGCCACAGCCAGCTTCGGTAGGGGACATGAGAGCAGGCCCGGGCAGAGAAAGTCAGGAATGGCAGCTACAGGGCTTTCAGCTCTCAGTCCCTGTGCCCTCCCTCCACACAGGCTAGGAACCTCTTTCCAGGAAGCCCATGTTGAGCAGCCTGAACGTCTAGCACTGACTGGGTGAAGGGTTCACCAAGCTAAGACGCTGTTGAAGGTCAAGAGAAGGAGGTGCAGATGAACCCTGGCTGGGCGGTTGACTTGGGCAAGTTGCCTCAGTTCTATGGACCTCCATTTCCCTCATCTAAGGGGCTGTGTGAGGACTTAACCAATGAACACCAGGTAAATGACAGCTGTTGTTAAGGACAAGACACCCTCCAGGCTGGAGAGATGGCTCCTCAGTTAAGAGCACTTGTTGCTTTTGCAGAGGGCCCAGGTTCGATTCCCAGCACCCACATGACAGTTCACAACCATTGTAACTCCAATCCAGGGGATCTGACACCCTCTTCTGACCTCTGTAGGCATCAGGCATGCACATAAATTATGCAGGCAAAGCAGTTGCATAATATAAACCTAAAAAATTTTTTTTAACGGGTAAGATTCCCTGTCTCTAACCATGGGTGCTTCTTCTTAGCAAGAGATAACCAGGATTAACAAGCAGTATGTTATCTGTCCTCTGTAAACACATGCTTTAGGCAACACGGCTCCTCTTCCTGCCTAAAGATACGAGCCTGGGAATAGAAAACAAAGCTTTCTCAGACTCCTGGGAAAACAGTCAAATGTTCTTATCTTGCAGGCCATGGGCAGCCATGGGGATCACACTTGTGGGAAACAGCTGAAGGCAGGTCAGAGTAGGTTTCTTCACAAAGTAAGTAAGCAAGAAACTGGTAAGGAAGAGGGCCATGGCTGCAACTTCCCTGAAGAGAGGTGTTAAAACAATTGAAACCGTTACTGCAGGGGAGGGGAGTATGAAGAGGACCTCATGCAGCCCAGGCTAGCCTCAATCTTACTATGTAGCCAAGGCTGGCCTTAAACCTAATCCTTGAGCCTCCTAGAGCTGGGAAATAGGCATGCACCATCATGCCCAGCTTGCAAACTGTATTTTAACAATATTGTGTGTGTGTGTGTGTGTGTGTGTGTGTGTGTGTGTGTGTGTGCGCTTCTGTATTTGGGGAAATATGTATTTGGGGCAGAGGTCTCGTTTTCTCTTCCCAATCATTCACTCTGCGGTTCTCATCATCTAGAGCTGGCACTGACCCGATGGTACCATTGCCACCCTTCCTCAACCAGTGCCCCCAAGGGCCTACCTCAGGTCCTGGCTGGACATCCTGCTGGCGATCAACCACTGGCAGCTCCCAAGACTCAGGCTGTGGCGTCCTCACAGGCAGCTGCTGTTGAGGCCAGTGGAGAGGGGAAAAGCGTGTCTGTGTCCTTGACTCCAGCCCTCCATAGGGCTGACAGGACACGGGATTCCTCAGGCCCCAGCATGTTCCATATCCTCCCTTCCCAGACCTTTGGAAATGTGCATTCAGACAGAACCCTTAACTGTTTGGACTTTGATCAGAAAATATAGGGAGGGGGCGAGAAAGAAGAAGCCCAAATTAAGAGGCCATCCTGAAAGGCTTTTGGGGGAGTTCTGGGAGAAGTGAAGACATGGGCTATGAAGAAATTTTACCAGGAGTCCCTCTCACAGTAGACAAGGACTGCAAAACTTGAGATGCTCTCCAGTAACTTTTTGTTTTGTTTTTTTCAAGACAGGGTATCTCTGTGTAACAGTTCTGACTGTCCTGAAACTCGATCTTTAGACCAGGCTGGCCTCAAACTCACAGAGATTCACCTGTCCAGATCCCGAGTGCTGGGATTAAAGGTGTGGGCCACCCCCAAGCAACTCTCACATTTTTTTTTAATGTGAGGAATAAGGGGGCATGAGACGGGGCTTTTCTATAGAACCCACTGAGCTCAGACTCCCTATGCAGATGAAGATGGTTTTGATCCCCCTGCCTTCATCCAAGTGCTGAGATTGTAGGTGTTGGCCATCCTGCCTGGCACATGGTTCTTAGCTGTGCTTTCTAACGTTTCATATGAAACCAACCTGCATTGTGTCCTTGGATTTACTGAGTTACTTATAGTTTGTTTTTGTTTTTTGTGACAGGCTTTCTCTGTGTATCCTTGGCTGCCCTGGATCTCGCTCTGTAGACCAGGCTGGGCTCAAACTCAGAGATCCGTCTGCCTCTGCCTCCAGAGTGTTGGGATTAAAGGTGTGCGCCACCACTGTTGCTCTGTTTTGTTTTGTTTTTTAAGATTTATTTATGTATACAGCATTCTGTCTGCATGTATGCCTGCAGGCCAGAAGAGGGCACCAGATCTCATTATAGACAGTTGTGAGCCACCATGTGGTTGCTGGGAATTGAACTCAGGACCTTTGGAAGAAGAGCCAGTGCTCTTAACCTCTGAGCCATCTCTCCAGCCCCTGTTGCTCTTTGTTTATTTGTTTTGTCTTTTTGAAACAAGGTCTTTCTTGTAGCCCTGGCTGCCCTGGAATTCACTCTGTAGATCAGGTTGACCTGAAACTCACAGAGATCCACCTGCCTCTGCCTCCTGAGTGCTGGGATCACAGGTGTATGCCTCCATGACTGGTGTTACATTTATGATTGTGACATAAGGATAACACCAAGACCATAGTCTGGAAATGGAAACTATAATAATTGGAGGCTGAGCTGTCGGTGGTGGCGCACACCTTTAATCCCAGCACTTGGGAGGCAGAGGCAGGCGAATCTCAGTGAGTTCCAGGCCAGCCTGGTCTACAAAGTGAGTTCCAGGACAGCCAGGACTGTTTTACAGAGAAACCCTGTCTCAAAAAACAAAACAAAACAAAATTGGAGGCTGAGACACAGGATCCAAGTTCCAGGCTGTCCTCTGTTACAAAGTACTACAGAAAAAGATTGGTCTTAAGGAGGTGTGTGTGTGTGTGTGTGTGTGTGTGTGTGTGTGTGTGTGTCTTCAGCTACATAATCAAGTTCAAGGTCAGCCTGAGATACATAAAATCCTGTCTAAAGAAAACAAAGAACAAGAAGGGCCGCACCTCTGAGCATCACCCTACCTCCCACCCGGTGGGAAAGCGCCAGGAAAGCTCATCCAGGCTGGCCTGGGAGCTGCCTCACCACAAGCTGCTTTGGGGTCCCCTCTTCCATGGTCCTGGCTTTTCCTGAGGCTGCCAAGCAAGTATTAGTCATCTCTAGGTCTTTTCATTTTGGGGAAGGAGAGAGAGGAAGAGGAGGAGGAAAGTAACTTACAGACATTAATCACTTCAGTAAAAAACCAAAAAAACAATATTGAGGAGGCTGGAGAGATGCCCGGGTGGTTAGGAACACTTGCTCCTCCAGGGGACCGAGGTTCGATTCTCGGCACCCAGGTGGCCGCTAACAACCATCTGTAGCTCCACTTTTAAAAGGCTGGATGCAGTCTGCAGGCACCAGGTACCATGTGTGGTAGAATATTATTTTAAGGTGTGTTACTTTTGTTCATATTGCATTTGTTTAACTCTGTGAAGCTGTGTTACTGTGTCTGTCTAAAACACCCGAGGGTCTAATAAAGAGCTGAACAGCCAATAGTGAGGCAGGAGAGAGAAATAGTCAGGGCTGGCAGGCAGAGAGGATAACTAGGAGAAATCTTGGAGGAGGAGAAGAGCTGGAGGAGGAGGCATCAGGGGCCAGCCACCAGCTACCCAGCCAGCCACGGAGTAAGAACAAAGAAAGGTATACAAGAATAGAGAAAGATAAAAGCCCAGAGGCCAAAGATAGATGGGGTAATTGAAGTTAAGGAAAGCTGGCTGGAAACAAGTCAAGCTAAGGCTGGGCATTTATAATTAAGAATAAGCTTTCAGCCGGGCGGCGGCGGCGGCGGCGGCGGCGGCGGTGGCGGTGGCGGCGCACGCCTTTAATCCCAGCACTGGTGAGGCAGAGCCAGGCGACTCTCTGTTGAGTTTGAGGCCAGCCTGGTCTACAGAGCGAGATCCAGGACAGGTACCAAAACTACACAGAGAAACCCTGTCTCGAAAAACCAAAAACCAAAAACAAACAAACAAAAAAAAGCTTTCATGTGTGATTTACTTGGGAGCTGGGTGGTGGGTTCCCCCCCCCCAAAAAAAAAGCCAAAAGACCAAAAAACAACCAACACCATCCATGTGGTGCACATATATACATACATGTATGCAAAACACCACGACCAGTTTTGGGACACGTACTGGGGAGGTTTTATCTCTTGGGGACCTAAATTCTAGAAGCCTAGAAGCGACAGATAATACACAGGAAAGCCAGAGGTCCCTAAAGAGTAAGAAAGACTGTGAAGAGCACGGCCTCATACCTGTCATCCCAGCACCTGGAAGCCGAGGCAGGAAGGTCTGCGTACAAGGGCGGCAAGGGCCGCCGGAAGACGAGCGTCGGGAAACTGTCTGCCTAGAAAGCACAAGCACCAGCCCTGGGAGCAGAGACGCGTGGATCCCTGAAGCTGGTCAGGATCCTGAAGCTGGTCAGCCGCCTAGCCTAATCTACACACTCCAGGTTCAGTGAGACACTGTCCCCCAAAATAAAAGCGGAGCGTGGTGGAGGAAGTCTTCTGGCTGTGACCTCAGCCCCCCACCTCCGCCATACAAGAAAGCGGGGTGGGGTGGGGTGGACTTCGAAGGGAAAAGCTGACTGCAGTGTCAGTGAGGTCCGAGCAGGGTTTCACCAGGCAGCCATGCAGGTGTGAGGCTCGGGAAGATCTGGCTCCTCTGGGCCAGGGCCCCGGATTCCTCCCCAGCACTGCCAGACACGACCCTGCCAGCTGACGCGTGAGCCGAAGGGGCGTGAGCCGAAGGGGCAGCTAGACCGGGAAAGCCAAGTTAGAAACAGGCAGGGACGCTGGGGGCGTGGCGGCGTGCTCAGGACAGATCCACGCCTGCTGCTATGCGGAGACGGAAGCCAATCAGAAGACAACAGCGTAAGGCTTTGTCACTCAGCCAAAGACGGACGGTCCCCAGAGCACAAACTACCTGGGGGGCCAGAGCTCAGAGAAAGAGGGCAGAGTCGGGAAGTGGGAGAAGCTGGGGGGCTGGCAGTGTAGAAATTGCTCTGATTGGCCAAATAGAATGGAGGACCACAGGAAGGATGAGAAACAGCCACACTTGGAGGGATCCAGTGGGCCATTCCTGTTTCAGGAGGGTTCCTGTGGCGGGCTTTTACTTCGCTGTGTCTGATACTAGGGACCGAACTCTGGGTCTGGGCCTGGTTCTACCAATGAGCACTATTTTCCTTTTTTGTTTTTTTTTTTGAGACAGGGTTTCTCTGTATCCTGGAACTCACTCTGTAGACCAGGCTGGCCTTGAACTCACAGAGATTCACCTGCCTCTGCCTCCAGAGTGCTGGGACCAGATGTGTCACCACCACCTGACATCTGTTTTACTTTCTGAGACAGGATCTTGTTCACTACACAGTCTAGACTGGCCTCCAATATGGAATAATAATCTTCCTGCTTCAGCCCCCCTCTGATGGGGATTGCAGGCCTTAATGATACTAATCCTTGCTTCCAGCCCATACCCAAATACCAGCTGTATTCTTGTCCTTGGATCCTGAGACATTCAATTTACCTCACTGCAGATCTTGCCAGAATTGCAGTTAAAATTTTACTATTGTAAACATACATATTGTGTATGTTCTATCTATGGTGTATATGTGCGCCACAGCACACGTGTGCGGACAACCCTCAGGGGCTGGTTCTCACCTTCCAGTCTGTGAGGCTAAAGAGCTTGTATAGCATTTTCTTTTAACCGTTGAGCCATCCTACCAGACCACAGAATTGCTGTTTTTATTTTATTTGTTTTGGTTTTTCAAGACAGGGTTTCTCTGTTTCCCTGGTTGTCCTGGAACTCTGTGTAGACCCGGCTGGCCTCGAACTCAAAGATCCATCTGCCTCTGCTGGGATTACAGGCATGGGCTGGACTTTTTATTTTTGAGACAGTCTCACACTGTAGCCCAAGCTAGCCTCCAACTGGTGGCAATCCTCCTTCAGCCTCCTGAGTTCTGGGATTATAGGCTGTGCGACAACTGGTTTTATGCAGGCCTCAGAACTGAACTCAGAGTTTAAGGGTTGTTAGGAAAGCATTATTATTAACTGAGTTACATTCCCAGCCCACTTCTTTTCTTATTTTTAACTATTTGTGTGTCTGCACATGTGGGTCTAGTTTCCCGTGGAGGCCAGAAGCGGGCAATGGAGTCCTAAAGCTGAATCGATGAGGTTGTGAACCACCCATTAAGTAAAGTGAACTCTTAACCACAGAGCTATGTCTCAGCTCCCTAGACTGCATATATATATATATAATGTGTGTGTGTGTCTATATCCATACACATACATGTATATGGCTATAAAACACCCATATACATAAACATGCATATGTATGTGCACACACACACATATATGGGTGTATATGTATGTATGTGGGTGTCTTGCCCATGTTTGTCTGGTGCCAGAAGAGGGTATTAGATTCTCTGAGACTGGATTTACAATTGTAAGCTGGGAATTGAACCTGGATCCTCTGGAGAAGCAGCCAGTACTTTTAACTGATGAGCTATCTCTCCAATCAAAAGTTTAATACTGAAAATCAGCAATGGGACAAGGAATTTGCAACATAGCCTCGACTCCCATCCTGTCTAGGAGAAAGCAGGTCCAGGCTGCAGAGTCCTCATCCTGGTCAGGGTCCTGTCCCTGCCATCTCTTAAAGCCCAAACCCTGTGCTCTTCTAGATGCCAGAATCTTGGGACACTTGGTGGCAAAATGTCATGTTAGCTGGGCAGTGGTGGTGCACACCTTTAATCCCAGCACTGGGGAGGCAGAGCAGGCAGGTCTCTGTGAGTTGGAGGCCAGCCTGGTCTGCTGAGTGAGTTCCGGGACAGCCAGGTCTACACAGAGAAACCCTGTTTCAAAGGGGGGGGGGAGGTCATGATATTAAAGGTCAGAAGTTCTTTGAGATGTAAATAAACTGCTTTGAAAAAAAAAACAAAAACAAAAACAAACTCCCAAGTCGCTGCTTAGGAAGTGCAGAACCTAATCTTTCTCTATTAAGTCAAAGCAAAGGAAATAGACACGTGGTAGCCCTTTGGGTTACATTCCGTTTCTAAAGCAAAATTAGATGTCTGAAATCAGTGTTCCTTGGCAGTGAGATAAGTCCGAGAACAAAGGGACATCCTGAGCCTGGGCACTCACAATGTTGCTCTGCAGTATTTGCTGGGAGGTGCTTTTTGTAGCCCTGGGGTTTCCTTTAGCAAACTCAGGTATTCAAAGACCCTGACTTCACAAGTCTCCTGCCACAGGTAAGTGAATATGTGAGTCAACAGATACTAGAATGTATGTGTGCCCGTGTCTGTGTGTGTATCACATGCCCACGGAATCCACAAGAAGAAGTTGGGTCCCTGGACCCAGAATTACAGACGGTAAACTACCTGATGTGGGTGCTAGGAACCAAACCCAGGTGCTTTCCAAAAGCAACAAGGCTCACTTCTGTCCCATGGGGGTAAAAAAAAGTTTTTGTTTTTTTAAATTTAGCCAGCCACGGTTTTAGAGGAATCTTATCAGGGAAATCCTAAACTTGGAAGAGGCCCATACTGGCCAGTCCTTCAGGCAATCTGCTGAATGTCTGCAGTGTTGACAGGCAACTGGGTTGTAGCTTAAAAATCCCTTTCCCTTCAGGGAATCTAGATTTTACTGGTGCTAACACTTCAAAAGGCCAGGGCTGGCAGTGCGGCTCAGTGGGAGTGCAATGACCTCACGGGCGGGAGGTTTTACATGCGGGCCTGAGCACTGAGGGGAAGAGTCTGTAATCCGGAGCAGTGTTTGCCACATTCCTGACCAGGGACAACAAAACAATGTCCCAGGCTCCTTCTAATGAAGGACTTGTTAACCAGTGTCTTTAATAAAGATGTAGCACTCTTCAGACCCCATTTTACAGATAGCTGTGTAGTAAGTGTTGCGAAGAGCCAGAGTTGAGTGAGGAAGGGCGCCGTGGGCCTGTGAAGGAGCAGAGAGCCAAGGTAGCTGGCGAGGGGCTGGCGGCTGGCTCCCTGGTCCTGACTGGTCCGGTTCACCACTGTGGGAGTAGGTCTGCAAAGGGTCAGCAGACCTGGAGAACTGTGGCAGCTAGGCAGAGCACTGCACGTGCCCCAGAACCTCTTTTGTGACCGTAGAGGGGGTGGAAGGGGAAACACCGTGAGGCCTAAGGCTGATCACTCTGGATGAACTGGACAGGGTTAGGAGAGGACTTCATGGCCATGTGCTGTGGTGCAGAGACTGGGGTGGTGGGGGCAGAAAGAATGAGGGCTGAGAGAAGTTCTAAAGTGTGGTGGCCACCCAGGCTGACCCGAGGGGCCTGGAGGTGAAGAGGGCAGCAGGAGGCGCTTTGGGGTTCACCTCTGCACCACTGCAGGCCAGGGGAAGGACACCAGTACTCCTTCCATGGAGGTGCCCTTCAGTGGCCTCTCAGGTGCCCAGCTCTCTGGGTCACCTGTCACCTGCTGCCATAGGACTCCCTGGCATCTGGTGAACAAGGGGGCTGAAGAGGGCTGTGAGCCAGAGCCAGAAGCAAAAGATCTGGGCAGAGAGCTGGTCTGCCTCCTCGCCATCATCACAGTCAATCCCACCAGCTACCATGCCCTTCATTTCTCTGAAGAGCTGCTTGATAAATCTAAAGGAGGGTTTTTAAGACAGGGTTTCCCTGTGCAGACCAGGCTGGCCTCAAACTGAACCCATTTTGGCCTCTTTGCCTTCTGAGTGCAGGCATACTTTCGCTACCCATTTTTACAGTGCTAAGCAATTTAAAAAAAGTAAACTCAGGAACACCATTTTCCCCTCATGGAATTTAGAGCCTTGCACATGCTAGGGAAGTACTCTCCCGCTGAGATCTCCCCACAGCTCTTAAATCAGAGTCTCATCGTTACCCAGACTGGGCTTGAACTTAATCTGTGACCTATGCAGGCAGACCTGTACTAGGCCTTGCCTCAGCCTCCCAAACAGCTAGGATTACAGTCCTATGTCACCAAGTGCTGCTTGGAAGGTGTGAAATGAATGAGTCCGTCCAGAGTCACAGGATCAGGGGGCGGTAGTCCAGAGCGCCAGGCCTCAACTACAGCCCAAGGTTCTTGGCAGTCTTCGTTGTTTCAGGATCAATGTTAGTTTAAAAGGAAAAAAGGTGGCTTATGCTTCATCTTTAAAGTTTTTATACAATGTGTGTGAGGGGCTAAGAGATGGCTCAGTGGGTAGAGAGGGATGGTTGAGGACCCAGGTTCGAAACCCAGCATTCACATAGTGTCTCCCTACCACCTGTAATGCAAGGTCTAGGGGGATCTGATGCCCTCTTCTGGCACCAGGCACGCATGTGTTGCACAGACATACATGCAGGCGGAACATCCATACACACGAATGTCTTTTGGACAGAGAGTCTGATGTGTATGCGGAGGTCAGAGGACCGATTGTGAGGACTGGTTGTCTCCTTCCACTGTGGGCTCCAGACTGAACCCAGGTCTTCAGGTTTGTGCAGCAAACACCTTTGCTCACTGAGCCATCTCTCCAGCCTCACTTTACCTTGAAATTTAATTCTGTTTCTGAACTAATTTGTTGCTATTGTAAAATTTCAAAGGTACAGTTCCAGGATGGACCAGGAGAAAACCAGGTCTTTCATCATTGGTAGACAAACCCATCCAGGGCGTGGCAGATGGCTCAGCAGGTCAGGGTGCCAAGTCTGATAATTTTCATGGGATCTACACCATGGGATCTACATGGTGGAAGAACAAAGCCCTGTTCCAAGTGTCTGCCCAGTCTGGCATATCTCAGCCTACCACTCAAGCACTTTGCTGACTGATGGACGAGTGCGGTCAGAGTCCTGCCCCCACCACACCCTGCACAGTGCCAGCCACTCTTTCCTGTTCTCCCTCCATCAGCTTCTTCAGGGAACTCATTGTCTTGCACCTAAGCCTTGCACACATTGGTAATGTGCCCAGGATGGATGCACTCTGCTCACGGACTGACAATAAGTTACAAACTGTTGTTTGGGAATCAGAGTGACCCATGACGACAACCCCTGCCTTTGACTGCAGTTGATGTTAACACAAGACAGCCAGCCCTCCTAGGCTGGCCTCTCTTCACATATTTACAAGCTGGGTAGGTCAGGGGGTCTCAGAATGAGAACCAGGGCTGCTTCCTCCCACCAGCAGAGCACAGGGGTCTCCCAGGGCTAAGCCCTTTCTATCGGAGGGGCCTTTAGCTTTGTCTGGACTGTCTAGGAAGTACCCCACTTCCCAGGATGCTCCTGGATGCCGGCTTCCTCTTCCCCTGCTTGCAGTGGGTGATACAGAAGGCCCTCTCCGCTGGCTTACTTGCCATCTCTCCCTACCAGTTCTCTGCTTGACGCGGACAGACAAGACAACTTACCAGCTTGCAGGAAGGACCTTCTTTCTGCTTTCTCTGGAGTAAAGGACAGGGGCTGGGTTTGCCGTGAACAGGAGCTGCTTTGTCCTTGGGGTGTTATCAGCCCGCAGTCCCTCCCTCAGCTCTCACATGGGCAGAGGTAGCAAGCGGGCAGTTGCTAAGTCCTACACTGCAGTCTTAGCCTTATCACACAGTCGGGGTTTGGATCCAACCTCACAGCAGCCACACGAAGACAGAGCTCCCCGCACCTGGTTGCTAGTAGGGTGCTTGAAACACAGCTGAGAAACAACTTGACTAAGGCAGCTTCAGGAGCAGGGTGATCGGGGGTGGGGGTGGGTGGGGACTCCCCAACATTCAGAGACTACAGTGCACGCAGCACTTCTGTATGGCCTGAAGGTTTCTGTGAAGACAACTCCTTGTCACTAGCCGAACACACTGGGCCTGATGGCAAGTGTGAGGAGGGGTCAGCATGGAATCTAAGGCAGTGCTCTGGCCAGATGAGCATGGCTGCCGACCTGAACTACAGCAGCATCTGCAAGAGGGGATGTCAGTCCAAGACGGGGGTACGTGTCATCTCGGGTGTGCTGTGATCACTCGAGTATGCTTCTTGGTCACATGCACTTTTTGTTTTCTGAGACAAGGTCTCACTGTACAGCCAGGCTGAAATCCACTATGTAGACCAAGCTGGTCTAAAACTCATAATCCTCCTGCCTCAGAGTGCTGGGATTATAGGCATGCACTACCACACCTAATACATTTTTTTTTTTGCAAGTGTGTGAATGGAACTCCATGTTCCATATGTACATGCCATGCTAGGCAAGCACCCCACTATGGAGCTACATACCATCTTCATGTAGTTTTATAATTGTAGGTAAATGTTATTGTTGCTCTTGCAGAGAACTAGAGTTTGGTTCCCAGCACCCACATGGCAGTTTACAATCACCTGTAACTTCAGTTCCAGGGCATTCCGATGCTCTCTCCTGACCTCTGTGGGTACCAGGCAAGGACATGGCACATACACAGCCAAAGCACACATACACATAAAAGTAAACTTTTAAAAAGGAAAGAGAGCTGGGCGTGATTTTTCTGTGTAACTATGCTGTCCTGGAACTCACTCTGTAGACCAGGCTGGCCTTGAACTCAAGAAATCCACCTGCCTCTGCCTCCTAAGTGCTGGGATGAAAGGTGTGCACCACTGTGGTCTCTGAGTTCAAGGCCAGCCTGGTCTACAGAGTAAGTTCCAGAACAGCCAAGGCTATACAGAGAAGGGAGAGGAAATTGAGCCAGGACTCCTGGGATTACATAAGTCTGAGGGCAGCTTAGACTAACCAATGAATTCCAGGCCAGTCCCCCCACCTCCCCCGAGTGACTCTGTCTCAAAACTAGGAACTAGAACTCCAAGACAACAAAAAGGCAGGGCTGAGATGTTGTTCAGTTGAGACCCCCGTCCCCAGCATAGGACCAGCAGCAGTGGGAAGTAGAGGCAGGAAGAACAGAAGTTCCCAGGTGTATACGGCTAGTCAGCCTGGGCTTCACCAGACTGTCTCAAAGGAACAAATAAAAAGAAACTGCTGCGAGACTGTGGGCTAGGAAGGACCCACATAGAGGGCTTGAAAGCCAGGGCGGAAGGGAGCTTCAGCTTCGGTCTAGGGCTGTTAAAGGCCTGCTTGCTTTCAGAGTGGCCCTGAAAGACCCCAAGCCCGTTCGGAAGGCAGTTGTGTCCCACCCCTCTGAAGCAGTGAACCAGTCTGGTGTGACTGATACCCTGATGACATAGGTACACAGCCAGGGTTTCCAACACTGTACTGGCAGGAGCTTGTTAAGTTTGTTGACTAAAATGCAGGAGCTGCTGATGGGTTGTCACGGATCGAGACTATTAGCACAGGACTAGTTGGTGGGCAAGGCAGTTCTGACGTGTCAGATACAGATCAGAGAAAACAGGAAGCTGACCTGGACTGAGACCACCGGAAGGAGGGCGGACAGAGCAGGTGGCCTGGCCTGGGACGGATAGGAGGGAGTTCCTCAGCTTTGTTACTCTTTCCCAGGTGTGGAATACCGGACACCTGCTGCCACTATTCCCGGTTAGCCAGTAGGGTGGGCTGGATTCCAAAATTCTTCAGAAGGTAGTGCTGTAGTCCATTAGGTATGGAGGGGAAATTCAGCCTAGAAAGGTGTGAAGGTTTATAAGCTGAAATTTGATGCCATGCTCTTCCTACAAGTTTGTTCTTAAACTGAGACATCAGAACCACAAGGGGTGTCTCACGTCAGCGGACAGGGCCTTCCATGGGGCTGATTAGGCAGGACGAGGAAGAAGTCAGAACCAGTTCCTGTTGATGTTCATTTGTTCATACTGTAGGTTCAGACCCCCGTTCTGACAACCACAACAGATCATACCTGGCCCGTGCGGTGAGGTCTGTCCAAGTCAAACGATGTGATTGCACCAAGAGCCACCCTGCTGCGATTGACTAAAGGAACAAACACTCCTCATCACCTTCACTTTCTGGCTAAGCACTGCCCCTCCCTTTCAGCACCTTGCTGTAGGCCAAGCTTCTCCAGGTTTTTCCTTCATTACTAACTCTGAGAAAAGGAAGTCTGTTATTCAGAATACAAAGGGAAAAGACTAAGGGCCAGGCAGATGCTGCATCTCTAACAGCCTACCTACCACACATCAAGTGAATTCAACAAACTGCACCAAAAACGTGGCAGTGGGGATTCTGTGCTGAGTATGTATAGACATTTTCTCGTCGTCAGCGCCCAATAATATAATTTAACATTGATTTACAGAGGATCTGTAAGAAACCTAGAGATGACAATATACAGGAAGATGTGCATAGATGACATGCAAATACCAGGTTACAAAGGGACGTTAGCACCTGCAGACAGAGGTCCTGGAAGCAATTCCTGAGGATGCCGAGGGCAACTGTACTTACTGACAACTTGGTTAGGAGTCACTCCACATCTCAGTTTTTGGTATACTCCAGGCCAGGCTGTGCTGGGTCTTGTCTCTGCCTTCCTATAAAGACTTAACTGCTTCCCATAGCGAAAACTCTGGATACAACCTGAGGAACTGGCTTCATTTCTTCCAACCACTCTGCCCAGCTCTAACTGGCTAGACTAGGGTGACTGGTCCTATGCAGTCAGGAATGAGCTAACAGGATTCTAGGAGCAAGTTGTGGTTTTCCACTCCTCAAATGGTCTCAAGACACTTGAATTAAAATTCCTGTCATGGAGGCAGAGGGGCAGGAACTGCAGCACACAATAGCTCAATCTGGGCATTTCCCAGCTGCCTTCTTGGCCGCTACTGCATAGTTCATTCTGCACTGAAAGCTTTTGCTAAAACTGCCTCAGGAAACTAGAGGAGTGAGCTTTGTAAGCACAAAGGAGACTGAAAGAAATGCACAAACATTGTCCTTTCAAAAGCTCAAGGAACTGAATCCAGGGCAACAGATCAGCAAGGCCAAGCTACCAGAGCGAAGTGGGGGGTGAGGGCAGTGAAGCCTGGGCAGCTGCAGCATGGGTACTCAAGAGATCGGCCACCTCTGGCTGAGCTGGCAGGATTTCCAGCCACCCAGGAGAAAAGAGCCCACAGCCCTCCTGCCAAAAACACCACTTGCATAACCACCGCAGGCCATAGGCCGTTCACCTTCCAGAAGATCCCACCTGGGTATTTTCCCAACTGTTAGTAACTTTCTGCGAGATTTGGACAAAGCTGCCCAAACAGGGGCTGCTTCTAGGTGGAAGTGCCTTTCTTCCTGAATGGGACACCAGAGACAAGACATCTCTGATGAGAAGTACCTTCAGCATCTCCGACGGCCAAAATGGAGAGTGGTTCCCAAGCAGTTTACAGCTTCCTTTCTTCCCTGAAACTCTTTTTTGTTTTTGTGCCAATTTTAACAAGGAAGCTCACAGCATGGGATCGGGATAACTGCTCCAGCAAGTTTTAAAACCAAGCTGACTAGTGGAAGGCAGTTTTGTTGTTGTTGTATACAGTATTTAGCATTGGTTGTTTTGTCAAAAAGATGTATATAGAACAACAGATTTTTTTTTTTTGAGGTGAGGTCTCTTGCACCTTAAGCTCTAAGCTATGCAGGCAAGGGGACCTTGCTCCTAGCTCTGTAGTGCCAAGACCACCAGTGTGCACAACTGGCCTTATCAGGAGCTTCACACCGAGTAGACACTGTCAACTCATCTCCATTAAGTTTTGTTCAAGATTTACTTTTAACTGATGTACATTAGGTGTTCTGCCTGTATGTATGTGCACAGTGGAGGTCACAACTGGGCACTGGAGCTCCTAGAACCGGAATTCCAGGCAGTTGTGATCTGCCATGTGGGTGTGCTGGGAGAGAAGTAATTTTAATCCTGAGCCGTTCCTCCAGCCCCAGAGAAAAAACTTTAATATCTGGCTTTCTTTGTTGAGGAATTCTTGTAATGTGAAGGCTTTCAGTGGAGAACATGTAAGTCAGAAACCCAAGTCTGTTCGTTTTTAAAGGAACAGTAGCACACACGAGGAAGCAGCTGTCAGTACACAGAGCCAGTGTCCTGCCACTTCACATTACAGCAAAAGAACCAGTCACAGAGAGAACCATCAGAACGCCAGACCTGGGCTTCCTAAACTTTAGGTTTTCATCCTAAAGTGACTGTTTCTGAAATGACAGACATGCAATCACTACACTAGAAAACGAAATGACAGCAGATTTTCTAGAAGAAATGCCCTTTCTCCTACAAATATTCTCAGGACTGTCTTCTTGTTGTTTTGGAAGAGGCTTTAGACTGGCGAGTTGGCTCAGCAGATGAAAATGCTTGCCTTTTAAGACCAGAACCCCATGTGGAGGTGAAGGAGAGACAGGGACTTGTTGCAGTTTACCTGGCTGGCCTCAAGCTCCTGAATGTCCCGTCTTCAGAGCCCAGGGACTGTAGGCAGGCACATGTTTGAATTTTTATGAAATGAAGGTTACTTACAAATCTAAGGATAAAAGTAGCCAGCGGCTTTGGTTGAAGACTAAAGCTGATTAAAAGAACATAGCTACTTCACCAAAAAGATTCCCAGAAACTAGAAATAAAAACAAGTTAGCCTACGCTTCCTTAGGCTTGTGGCTCCCTCTTCTGGACACTTTTAACTTGGATGACTGCAGGCTTGATTTATCTATGGTCCCTGCTGTGGATATCGCTCTGTATAAATAAAATGTTGATTGGCCAGTAGCCAGGCAGGAAGTATAGGTGGGACAAGCAGAGAAGAGAATTCTGGGAACAGGAAGGCTGAGTCAGGAGCCGCTGCTAGCTGCTGCCATGAGAAGATGTGAAGGCAGAACTCGGAAAAGGTACCAAGCCACGTGGCTAAACATAATTAAAAATTATGGATTAAGTGTAAGAGCTAGTCAGTAATAAACTTGAGCTAATGGGCATACAGTTTATAAATAATATAAGCCTCTGTGTTTACTTGGATCTGAGCAGCTGCGGGACTGGTAGTTGAGAGATTTGTCCTGACCACCGGCAGGCTGGGACACAGAAAAACTTCAGCTACAGGTCCCCATCAACTGACTGCCCACCAAAGGCTCTGCAAGAAGCGCAGCCAATGCAGGCAGGTAATCACCTTTGGGAGAGTCTATCTGTACCAGTCATGTACTGTAGCTGGGGTGAGGGTAAAGGCCTGAGGAGGGCACCACAGACTAGCTGTGATGGGCCTTCTCCTGGCCATGGTTAAGACTGCAGCCAGTTTTATTACTGTCTAGGCACTTGGTAGATTGCATGCACCATTGTGAAAATTCTTGGCATCTAATTGAGATTAAAGTGGATGCTTTCAGGTGGTGGCACTGTGACCTAGCTCAAACCTCGTCGAAATAGGAGTCTGCCCTAAGGATAAAGGTGACACATGAATACACAGCAGGCACACACATCAAAGCCTTGCTCATTTAACAATGTACTTTATACAAAATAACCAGTTCATATGGAAATCTACAGATCTCCAAAGATCAAAAAAGCTTTTTAAAAAGTTCTTCCAAAAAATTATCCAACACACAATATCCAACTAACTATTGAGGTAATTGTCGCTCTCAGTGAAACAGGGAACCAGCAGACCATGACAAAATATAT